CCTACACCGCGCGCTGCCTCTTCCGCCTCTCACAGTTCACCGCGCGCTACCTGCAGAACCGCGGCTTCTCCCTCGGCCTCGGCGACGTCGCGCCGACGGCGGGGCTGACGCGCGAGAAGGCCCGCGTCCTCGCCGCGGCCTTCGCGCGCTGCGAGGGCCTCCTCGCGGAGGCCGCGGCGGGGGGCCTGGCACCCCTTCCCGGGATGTCCGTGCGGGACTCGCTCGAGGCGCGGCTGAATGCGGAGCTGTCGGCGGTTCGTGACGCCTGCGGGGCGGCCGCGATGCAGGCGCTCGACCCCCATAGCCACGCCCCGCTGGTGATGGTCCAGGCCGGGAGCAAAGGCAGCGCCCTCAACACCGCGCAGATGATGGCCTGCGTGGGCCAGCAGACGGTCAACGGGCGGCGAATCCTGAACGCCTTTCAGGATCGCTCCCTCCCGCACTTCCCGCGCTACGCCGAGACCCCGGCGGCGCGCGGGTTCGTGCAGAACGCCTTTTACGACGGCCTGACCCCGACGGAGTTCTTTTTTCACACCATGGCGGGCCGCGAGGGGCTCGTGGATACCGCGGTGAAGACCGCCGAGACGGGCTATATTTACCGCCGCCTCAGCAAGGCAATGGAGAGTCTGAGCGTGCAGTACGACCAAACGGTGCGGAACGCGCGCGGGGCGATTATCCAGATGCGCTACGGCGAGGACGGGCTGGATCCGTGGGTGATGGAGGGGGTCAACGGGGCCCCGTTGAATCTCCAGCAGGAATGGCTGGCGGCTCGCGCGCGGTATGCGCGGTTTTGCCAGACCCGCGCGGAGCAGCGCAGCCGCCTACGACTGCTACTTCAGAGCGGAAATGCAAAGGAAAGTGTCAAAAAGCGATCCAAGGTTGACAATCGGGCACCAAAGGCGAAGGCTATTGAAGAAGCTCGTCGGAAAGGGTCAAAGCTTGTGGGATCCGATGGGGAGGTACAGAGGCGGCATCTTCAGCAGCACGTTCTTTCACTTTTGCCCGATGAGGTGCTGACCTTTGTTAAGCAGCTTTTAGAGGGAGATCCGAGTAGTTTAGCGGAGCGCGCTGAAAATGAGACCGCCGATAGCCTCGAAGATGCTTCCATCGACGAATGCATCGCGCAGCTCGCTGGCGATAATGACCATTCAACTGGTAGCATCAAGAATGACGGCAATGCTAAATTGCCCGTGCAAAATTTACAACGGCTGGCCAAAGTATGCAGCCCACGATTTCGCGCGGATGTCTGTCGTTTTTTCGAATCCCTCGTGCAGGAGCAGCGCCAACTACGCGAGCGGCTTTCCCTCCCACTCGATGCCCGCCCCCTCTTCAAAGCAAACCCCTCGTCGACGTTGTCAGCCAATGGTGGAGGGTCTTGCATGGATAGTACGCCGCCTTCTGCGATGGTGGAGACGCTCCAAACGGAAATTCTTCCCCTCACGGAGGGCATGATAGCGTCTTTTCTCGAGGAGTGCGCGTGGAAGTACCTGCGGAAGATCTCCGAAGCCGGGACGCCGTGCGGCGCGATCGCCGCGCAGTCGGTCGGGGAGCCGAGCACACAGATGACCTTGCGCACCTTTCACTTTGCAGGGGTGGCCAGCATGAATATCACGCAGGGTGTCCCTCGTTTGGTGGAGATTATTAACGCAAATAAAAACATCGCGACGCCGATCGTCCGCGCGCCGATCTTCTTGCACGATACGAACGCTCACGGGGTATGGAGGCCGACGCCAGACAAGGGCGAAAAGGGTAAAATCCTCTCAGAATTGGAAATCAAAAAGAAAACTAGTCAATTTCTCAAGAGCTTAGTCGAGCGAGTACTTCTCAAAGAGGTTTGTAAGGAAATCGTCGAGGTGATTTCACCCCAAAAGTACTATCTCCAGATCTTTCTGGATATGCCTTTGATCGAGCGCCTGATGCTGCCAATTGATGCGATGGTCGTCCGGCGGCGGCTGCTTGAGGCGGCCTCAAAACCGATGTCGAAGCTTCGCAGTATTCGCGAGGATTTCGTAAGTGTTATTAGCAAAGACTCCTTGATTGTCTACCCTCCCGATTCCGATCCCAAATTCACACATTACAATCTCCAATCCCTGCTTTTATTGCTTCCGGAGATCGTGGTAGGGGGCATCCCAGGTGTGAACCGCGTGATGATTAATGAAAAAGACAATGAATTAATCGCGGAAGGTGCCGAACTCCGCGCGGTCATGGCGCTTCCTTACATCAATAGCGCCCAAACCGTCTGCAATCACGTCGCCGCGATCGAGCGCACGTTAGGGATTGAAGCGGCGAGGCAGAGCATCATTAACGAGATTAATGAAATTCTCAAAGCCTACGCGCTTAGTATTGACATTCGCCATATCTATTTGCTCGCGGATGTCATGACAAATCGAGGAGTGGTGCTTGGGATCACGCGGTATGGCATTCAAAAGATGGATTATAACGTACTAACAATGGCGTCGTTTGAGCGCACAACGGAGCACTTATACAACGCCGCGCTCTCGCAGCGCGAAGATAAAAAGCTTAGCATCTCGGAGAGTATCATCATCGGGAAGCCGATTCCTCTCGGAACGGCGGCCTTTCCCGTCTTAATGGCTAATGATGGGCTTGGGAAGAAAGATTGCAATCAAAATTGTGATAGTAATGGGGGATTGAGAGAGGATTATGTCGGTACAAACGCGGCGTCGATGCAACCGGATGCCTTTCTTTTGAATGCGTATCGAAAGTACGGCGTCCTCGGCGGGCAAGCAGAGACTGTTAGCCATCTTCGTCGGAGTTCTCGTCCACCTTTGGTAACAACAGGAGCTTTTCGCGTGGATCTTTTTTCTTCTAGGTGATTTTTTGTTTGCGATCACAGATTATCATTGTTATTATTATTACTTTTATCCTTTGAATCAAAACAAACATTACATTCATATGCGTGGGATCGAAAAGAGGAGGGGCATTGGAACATGTAATCTATTCTGCACCATCTGTAATGAAACTATAAGCGTAAAAGTCGATAACTTGATAATATACACATAAAATAATCCTGAAAATAAAATAAAACATCAGACGATACTCGGTTAATGGAGCGGATAATATTTTCAAATATTATATATACATATATAACCATATCTATATATAGGACACATATGTCTTCTGCTTTGATCCTTAGCGGTATGCGTTGGTTTTATCTACGCCTTAGGCTTAGCAGGGCTGTGTTCTAGACCGTGTTATTTCTTTTCATCTACCTTTTCCCCCTTTTTATTTCCTCCTTCTTTATAATGATGATTCCTATCCACTAACATCCCATGGAGTGTATATTGTAACACCCTTGCAGTTTATTCCTGCCACACTCATCGTCTGTGCTCGGGTTCTCCTAGTGGACCCTTCCTGAGGTCTGGCCGTGTCCTGCAGTTTCCGTTACTTCTGTTACAGTTGGGCGTACTCCCTCGTCTGACTGCCGCCCTTGTCACACGCCCTCAGTTCGGCCTTTCCCCTTCTGGTTACAATGGAGCCGTCGTCCCTGAAGACGACCCCCCCACAGCCCTCTAAAGGGGCACTTCCTCCGCACGTGGGTGCTGCGCCGTGGGAAGGGGGATGTCACAGAAAGGACGCAGGGACGGCCCCTTTGCCCTGGATGACGCCGATGGGCTCTTTTTCCTCCTCGGTGATGGGCCTGGGGGGGGGCGGCCACGCGTTCGTTTCTTCTAGCCTCCACATCGACCCCGACCCTCGCCTAGGGAGACTCCTCGACGTCGTGGTGGACCGTGACGTCGACACCCTCGCGGCTTATATCGACCAGGCGGTGCCAGAGTTCTTCGCGCGCACGTTGGCTGCGGCGCCGATTACACTTAAAACGGCGGAAAAGGAAGGACGAGAGGGGGGAAAAGAAGGAAGGAGTCCCGCGCATTGTGGTCCCCCGCTCTCCGTCGGGCAGCTCCGCTCCGTTCTACAGGATCGACTCATCGACACCCACCGCGGCTTCCTCCGCGAGCTGCAGCCCCTCCACGATTCCTTCCGCGACGCCGCCGAGCAGGTGCGCGCCCTTGACGAGCTCTGCTCGGAGTTGGAGGCGACCGCGGGGGCCCGTGAGCACGAGGTGGAGGACCTCGTTGTAAATATCGCGGGCCTCGAGGCGGCTTTACGTCTCGCGAACCAGCGCGAGGACGCCCTGCGGGAGTTCCGTGAGCGGCTGAACTTTACCGCCGAGGAGCAGCACACGCTAGAGGAGGATCCCGTTGGGGTCTGTTTTATCAAGGCCCTCGAGCGCACCCGACGGGTCCACCAGAAGAGCCTCTCCTTCTCGCACCTCCCTGAGCACCAGCTGAGCGCGAACTCGGTGGCCGAGAGCACCTACCGTGCGATAATGAAAGCCTGCGAAAAGATCACGCGGTACCTCCTCTTCTCCGCCGCCTCCGATCTCTGGACAGATGAGGACGGGAAGGTGAATCGAACGGCGATCTCGGCGGATGTACCGGAGGTTTCGCGATTCTACATGCGCTGTGTTCAGATCTTACGCGAGGAAAGCCCCTCTCACTGGGAGCAGGTCATGCGCGAAATTGCTCAACAAAGACGAGCATCAGTGCTGAGGCGTTATTTTCACTTGCTCACCACAGGATCAGCTACAACGTCGGCGGGAACGTATTACCGCAATTCAGGGGAAAGTGATAATTCCAACTCTAAATTCGTCGAAGAAATTTCCTCTTCCTCTTCACTTCTTCCTCACCATGGCTCATTAAGACCCCTGGAGGCCGATTTAGACAATCCGGTGGTGTTTTCGATCTCACTTTTTGCCTGGATCCATCAGAGTATTGCAGAGGAGGATGACTTTCTGAATCCTTTTTTTGCAGGTTCCACCAATGTGGAGCCCAACAGGAGGCCCAAATTGGATGATGGCAAATCAGCTGGTGATATTTTATCGCCGTCGTCGTTTCAGTTGGACAAGCATTCGGAGGCGGCCTACGCCGAGGCCCTTTCCTCGACGGTATCGAAATCCGATCTGCTCGAATTGATCTTTGACGGCATCACCAAGCAGCTTCGCAGCTCCTTCGACGGGATTTTGGAGCGGCTTGAGCGGCGATGCTTCGCGAATGCGGCTTCCAACCCCAGGGCAGAAGCCCAAAAGGAATTGCAGTCCTTTTCAAAAAGAGAGGAAACGGAGGCGACGACGGGGCGGGGGGGGCCTTCCCCGCGTGGGCTGACGGGGGGACTCACAAAACTCTTCCAAGCCGTCACCGGGCGCCCGCAGGGCCGATCAACGCGAACGCCTCCGACTACGAATGCATCTAGCCTTCCCTCGCTTTCGCCCGCGGAGGGGGATCCGACGCGCGCGCTTTTTGCCGCCCTCCAGACCTGCTTTCAGCTCCTCCAGCTCTTTGCGTATTACCGCACGACGACCTTTGAGGCCTTGCTCGGGCGGCAGGCCTCGTTGACATGCTTTATCGCCGAATCAGCCGTCGATGACCTCCGGCGTGTATTAAATCGCCTTTTAAAAGCTATCACCGAGCATCTTTTTGATTCCACTGCAAGGGGGGTCGAGCATTCGTGGATACTCCGTCGTTTGGCGTCAATTAACGCCGCCGTGAGGGGGCCTAGCGCCTCCGCGTTGACCCATCTAAACACCTCAACGCACCAAAGGAACGAAAAGCGGGTATTTGTGTTGGATTTTCTCATCAAATTTACTCTTGAGGACAAGATGGAAGACGGCGAAGAAATGGGGAGCTCGACATTGCTGAGTAATAGCAGCAAATCGGGGATCATCAGCACGGTGTTTCTTCAAAGTAGCGGGACAAGTAATACGAGTCGTAGAATGAAGGATTTACAGCAGTCTACGTTAGCCTATGAACTTGAGCGCCTACTGGAGAAACAGCTACTTTGCGTGCCCTCTGAAATAAAAAAATACTTGCAGCTTTTAGAAATGTTTATAGAAGATACCACGCGGCAGCGTCAACTTCTCGAGGCTTTTTCCGAACAAAGGGCGGCTGGTCGTGCGCAGCAGGAGGAATCATCGCTAAAAAGTACTCATCCAAACCGCGTGGAAGAGGGCGAATTAGAGAAGGTGGAGAATAGCTGTAGCGGATCTCAGGATCGAAATGAACTTCATTTCACGATGCTACTTCATCCATTGTTGGCCTTTCATCATTTATTAAATCGACAGAGCTCTATTCAACACAACCTTGACGATGTCTGTCAAGGCATTCTAGAGTGGAATTGTTTTAACGCGCTTTATGCCGTATTGCGCAATCACGAAGCCTTGATTACGTCCATTCCAAATACTTTTGACTCTACCTCGTCCGCGCCGTCAGATTTTCAGAAAGAAAAACTTGATCAAAAAAGTTTTATGACCCTATCACTTACCGATATTTCTCGTGGAAGGGAGGCGGCAAGCGAGCTCACAGCGGAGGAAACGCCTAGCGTTCCTTTGCTAGCTATCATAACGAAAAAACTCCATTATTTGCATAAAATGCTAAAAGAGCTCTTTTCCACCGCCGCGATAAAGTATTACTTCACGCAACATAATACTACATGTACTTCTTTGCTCGAAAGTCTTATTTATTTCGAGAATTCGCAAGAGAAGATAACGGCAGCGGCGATAAAACTCAAAAGCATGGCTGATATTCATGCGGTGATGGCAATATTGCATAATTTATACAATTTAGTCGCTTCGAATGGGGGGCTTCCAAAGCTCCCGATGTTGTCTGCCCTTGGAGAACCTTCGCAACAAGAAAAACTCCAACATCACGTTGTGGAAAGAGTACTCGAGGTTTATGGGTATTTATATAGAATTTTAAGCTATAGATTGCGTGAAGATTCAAATATCGATTCTTCTACACATTCTGGGTTGAAATTTAACGAAGAAGAGGCCTCGATGTTTTCGGATATAGACCCTGTGAAGCTGCAGATGCTCATGGATGCATAGACCTTTGGGGGGGTTTGTGTGCGTGCGAGGGTATTCTACTAGATTAATGTAGTTGGATATTTTTATTCCACTCTTTGCTTTTATTTTCTGGTTCATTAAGCCTTTTGTAAATCTCAGAGCTTGGTTAAGGATTACAAACGAAATACTAGTCAACCTTGAAATATTTATTTTCACTTCACCCACTTTTTTTTGGTCAATTCCTTATACTTAAATTTATTTGTACAAAATTAACCCTTTTGGGTGGAATCCTGCGCCTCTCTACCTCTTATTGCCTCCCTGGCATATTTCTAATTATTATTAATGTCAGACAATGTTAATGGGAATGGAACTATTCCGTTATACACAGCAAGATATGGTATATGCGTATGTTTTTCCTTTGCACACCTTGTTAAAGAATAATACCTTAATTGGTTAGGGAATCTGTGCCTCTCTCGGTCTGGAAATAATTAACTCTGTGAAGTAAATATCGTGTTGATTGTAGGTTATGGAGGAAAGAGAAAAACAAACGATGGGTTACGTATGTTTCATTTAAAAAACGAGCAAAAATAGTGTCCATCCCTTGTAAAAGCCCCTTCCCCCAATTCAAAAGACCTAACATTCTAAGGAAAACCCTGAAATTATAGCAAATGCAGGTTGATCAATAAAAAATGATAATCTAAATATTTTTTAACTGTTAATGATTGTAGTTGGTAGTTTTTTATCTTCAATACATTTTATTTTCCTGATTTCTTTGATTATTTCAACTCCACAGCTTATTAAAGTGGGTGTCCTTTTGACATTCTGCTATATTAAGACGAGGGGGAAGGTTAGGTAGAGCTTGTTTTATCAAGAAGTATCGAAAAGAAAGAAAATAAAATGGTGTTTTATTCTTTCGTTCTTGTCATGAAGCCTCGTCTTCGTAAGTTTACTTCGCAAGCGTTACGTGAAATCGCGACCTCTATTTACAATAACGGCGGCCTAATTCGTAAATTTAGCAATGAAGGAATTATGCGCCCGTATTCTAAATTTAGAGATGTCGATAACAGCCCGATCACCTACGCGCGATACGTGACGATTCAGGTCGACATGGGAGAGGAGGAAATGCAAAAAGTGGAGCGGATGATGCGTGAGCACACCGACGTGAATATTCTGCTGCGCTTGAATAATTTAGAAAAGCCAATTGGTGTGAAGAATAACTCGAAAAACGCTGCGGAGTTCTTCCCGTTGGATACCTTTTCGAGGATGGAGGAGGAGATCAACTGGCCTCCACAGGTTTCAGGTGATGTTTATGAGCAGTTGGATATGAATTGGAAGGAGTTTTCCCGTACGCGGTGGTCGAACTTCCTGAGAAATTAACCCCCTTTTTTAGCCATTATCATTTTTCACCCCTTAAAAAGTCTCCCGTTATGGGAGGCTAACGCGGGGGATGAATGCTAAATCACCTATTGCGATTTTATTTCCTTTTGGGGAGAGAAAAAGAGGAGGGAGGGGGGGGAGAACCCCATTGGATTTTCTTGAGTTTATTGGGGAGGTTGATATTTCTAACATCGCATGCATCCCTTTCATCCCCATTTTTATTCTTCTGTTTTCTGCATCCTTGTCGTGGACGATGGGCTTAGTCTATGCAAAGCACACTTTAGAATATTAAGCCCTTACACACCCAAAAAAAAATACCATATCTGTGACATCTGTTACAAATATTACAGCTAATAAGACATCCTTCGTTTATACCACCGCACCTTAACGCGTCCTGTGACATCTCTCTCTCTCTCTTTATATATATATATATCTTTTTTTTCTTTCTATTGGTGGCTGTTACAGAGTTGGTGTATGCGCCTGTGCTAAAGGATGGATTGTCACAAGAGCAGATCCCGCAAGCCCCACACGCAGGTGCCGGCGCACGAACGCGCGCTCGCCGAAGAGGAGGCCCGACTCGGCCGCATTGAGGACGCCGTGGCGGCCTACAGCGCCGGTTTGACAGGCCTCCACACCGAGTACGCCGCGAACGTTTACGCGATCGAGGCCCACTACGATCAGCTGCTGAAACCCTACCAGGTCGTCGTCTACGCCGCGCAAGAGCGGGAGCGTCTGATAGAGCTGCGCATCGACTGGCTCGAGCGTGCGATCCTCGCGCAGGAGAAGGGGGGAGGGGGGTCTAAAACTGGAAGTGGAGGGGGATGCTTCCTCCAAGCGCGCGACCTGCGCCCGGTCGCGGAGGGGCTGCTAGCGGGCCCCCAAACCCAACTCCTGCGCGCCTATACAGGGATCCAAGAATGCCCCGCGGAGGATCTACGCACCGCCCAGGGCTACGACGCCCCGCCGGACGCGGCCCTAGCGACGCTTCAGGCAGTGCTCTCCCTGCGGGGGGAGCCCGACGAGGTTTGGCAGGCCGCCCGGGTCTACCTCACCGAGGGCTACTTCCGCAGTTTCTTCGTCGCCCGCTCCGATGCGATGCTCCGCCGCTATGACCTCCTGCCGACGGAGAGAATGCGGAAGTTGGAGAAGTTTTGTCGATGCCCCGCGCACGACCCCCGTGCCATTGCCCGGATAAGCGCACCGCTGGGCCATCTCGCGGCGTGGCTAAGGGCGGTGCGCGACGTCTACCGCGTCCGCCTGGCAACAGCCCCGGTGTTGCTTTCGGACGAAACTCCTGACCGCCTCAACGCGGCGCTTGAGCTTCTCGACGAGCTCACCTTTATCGACCACCCCGTCGGGGAGGAAATGGAGGAGGAAATGGAAAACGAAAACGAAAACGAAATCATCCCCGCCGCGCATGAACCAAATGCTAAGAGTCCAAACACAGAGGAGGGACGGTTCGAGCGCGAGGCGCGGGAGGCAATGGCGGCTTATCGGGATACGAAAAAGCGCCTCTCGGAGTTCACGCAGCCGGTGACGGTGCGACTTGTCGCCCTTCGCCGCATGCAGCATCTTTTGAACTGGTCCAAGGAGGATAGCCGAAAAGCCCGCGAAGCGATGGCCGCGATTCAGTCTGAGGCTTCGGCGAAGATCCAGGAATTGCGTAAAAAGTACGACGGAACGATGCTCCCTCTAGAGGGCAAGCTTGAAAGGAAGGTGGAGGACTTTATGAAGGTCCTCCATGGGGATGAGTTAGAGAACTCGTTTAAGTAGATAGAGATTAAAATATATATATCGGTTTACACAACATAAAAGCGAGTAGAGGGGGAAGGGTGGGGGGAGGGAGTGAGGAGAGTGGAAACCCTCCTCAGGTCTGGCATTTTTCTTCTCGTTGGTTGGTAAAAGGGGGAAAACGATATTTCATTTTGAACTATTTCAAAGACTAATGTTGCTCGACTCCATGTTTCATTGTTATGCAAAGACTATGTAAATGACTTCCCTTTATTCGGAGTTCTGTTATCCAGACTCTATATCAGGGTGTTTTTTGTGTGAAAATGTGTTCCATTACCTATGTAAAATAATCATCAAATGAAAAAAGCCATTTACATATCATTTTAAAAAATCACAATAATCCGCTTTTGTCGGCTTGTGCTCTTGGATTTTTGGAAGGAAAAAAGAGGAGATCTTTTTTAGCAACAAAGATCTTTAAAAAATAATGCCTATTTATTCTGTTCGAAGTTTAATTACATGAACCTTTTTTTTGCACCTCAAGCTGCTATGTATAGAAAAATAAATAACACCCCCGTGTAGTTTATATCTGATGAATGAGACGTACGTTCAGTCTGGATATAGTAGTATTTACACTCCCGGCACTTTTCTTTCTTCTTTTGCACAGCTTCTCGTTGCGCATCCTCGAGTCCATGCCGTACGGCTTCAGACAAGCGATATCATCTCTCATTCCATAAAACGTGAGAAATGGGAACTGCCTTTACCTACAATGCCCTTTAAAAGGGAAGGAGATACTCTCAAAACCAAAACAGAGAAATCTATCGAAGAGGATTTACTTCATATTGAGGTAATCTTCGATGAAGTTGACGATATGGCAAACCGAAATGACACCAGTGAAATAAAAAGCCCTAAAAGTGATCATACTCAATTTCGGGATTTTTTGCAACCACCACAAGGTTCTTTATATTCCTTCAAGAGGGAGCTTCGTGTGGATGACGATCAAAGGATAAGGCACTCTAGTGGGGTGAAATCTAAATATGTCATTATCGCTCATGCAACCCGCATTACAGCTCGATGGTGCGCCCAACTACAGCGTATTTTTTGCGTTGTTTCCCTATTGCTATGGCCCAATCCTCCCGAGAATCACGTTTCGGAGCCTCTTTTACAAACTTTCGATTCTTGTTGGACGCCGCAGACACGTCCGTTTGCGCTTTTTCACGTAAATTTGAGTCCTTTTGTCCCCGAGCTGCGGTGGGATCGCGAGCTCGACGGCGTTCTCGGCTCCCCGCATCACGTCACCCTCCTCCACCACCTGAAATTACAAAATAACGACCCCCATACTTATGAGGGTGAGGGTCTTTATGAGAAAAATCTAATAAAGCCAGCTCGCGATGGAATTTCAACGGCCGCCCATAAGACAGAAGTTTATCCTTGTCGGGTTGCCGCCGTGTTGAATGCGAATATTCCTCTGGGGCGTCATGGTGGGCGTCGAAGGGCGGCGTTGTTAATTTTGCACGCCCCAGGTGCAGCATTGTACACCATGGAAAGCGGCCCTAATGAAAACATTCACAACACAGCGGAACCCAGAGAAAAATATGAGAAATTTTCCTTTATGTTGGGTTTTATAACGCGCTGGGTGATTCCACGTGTATCGCTTAAAGGCATCGGAGGAGTTTGGGAAAACATCGAGGCAGCGTCCACCGAGGATGATGTTTGTGGCCTCAAGGAAACCCTCGGAACGAGCTATTACTTCCTCCCACATCCTGCCAATGATCGCACCAACGACGATTGCGAAGACCACGCGAGTACGGCCTTATCTTTGCGTGTTCGTAATATCGCGCTGGTTCTAGATTTGCCGCCAACGCTTTGGGAGCGGATGTGGGAAGAGGAAAAAGACAAGGCCAGCGAAGAAAAGGACGCTGCTTTATCGATTTCTGAGCTTCAAACACCCTCTTTACTGCGGAGTTGTGCGGCCGATCAGCTCGCGTCAGCAATAGAGCAGACGCTTTTACTTCTCGCAACGAAAAATGTCGACATTTTCGCCTTTAGAAATTCTATGGCGCCGGACCCTAATCGAATCGACAGATCGCAGCTTGAAGGCCTTTCACAAGGAAATGAAATCACCTCTTCATCGTTGATGGCGCCACGCAATGCACGGGGGCAATACTCCCGCGCGATGTTGATTCGAAGTATTGCGGAGAGCCTTTCGGAAATTATTGCGCGCTCACCACATGTGGAATTTGTGCGAGCCGCCGAAAACTGCCTTTTTCCCTCATCTTCATCATTATCTTCTGATCATAATATGGTAAAGGATAATCCTAAGGAAGAGTTAACAAAATCAGAGTATTGCAACTTCAGGCGGCGCTATTCACTCAATGAACTACGCCAAGCTATTGAATCGAAGCTACAGAATTGTTGAATTTTATGACAAATAGGGGGAAATTTTATCTTTGAGTTTATTTCTATTTTTTTTGACCCCCCCCCCCCTCTGCTTCGCCGTATAGGTATGTTCTAACTAAAAATGAAGATCTTTTCGTTTTTGTCGAACATTCTATCTGGTTTTTATCATCAATAAAAGTGAATTGGTTATAATACCCGGCCATCTATGCCATCCCTTTATTCTGTTGTTTGCCTGACACAAATTCTCTTCTAAAGTCATCCTTTTTCCCCTCCTCTCCTGTGTTTACATTTATCCATTTATTTTATTATTTTGACGTGGAAAGTGTTGTTCATCAG